AAACCGAACTATACAAAATAAAATAAAATAAATTAGAATTTAAATTCTATAATAGAGAAATAATTGGGGAATAGAGGAATGACAGAGGAATAGTCGGGGAATAGAGGAATAGCGGAATTGAGGAATAGGGGAACAGCGGAATAGAGGAATAGCGACCGACCGACCGGAATACATTTTGCAACGTTCCCTTACCAGATAGCTCTAACATAAAGCGGGAGAAAGCCTTATTTTACTAGGCCTTGAAATAAGTTAAACTGAGATGGCGAGTTCATATACAAAATCTTGTACGAACCTGTCGGCAATGCGTTGGAGCTATATACAGACAGTTTAAACAAGCACCCGCTCATATTCGTCTTAAAATCTATAAGAATTGTATCCTCAGTAAGCTAGACTATGCCTGTGCCTTATATTACACCACTTTCACCGCTCAGGTGTCTCGTCTTGAGTCCGTCCAACATCTAGCAGCCTATATGATTACTCGAAACTTTTCTACTCCAGGTCAGAATTTAGTTAGAAGGTTAAATCTGCCTTTTCTGAATAATGGTAATGTTGAAAGTAGCGCATTTTGTTCAGTAGTGGTTGCCAGTTATGAACTAGTCATTTTTACCATATCAGACCGATGGGAAGGAAATGAGTCTTGCGTTATCTGAAAGAGGACATCTAAACGTCCTGAGAAATGATGTTCTATCTTCCTCTAATCACTTTCAAAATGGAGTTCAAACTTCAAAATTATCGTTTTTCGGACATTTTAATGTTTGTTCAATTAAGACAGTGTCTCAAACGTTAAGATCATCTTCTATACATCATATTGTAAAGAAATGAATGGGGAATCTTTTGGTAATACGATGAGCTCGGTGAGTTCAAAAGAAGAGGAGAAAAATTGAAAATAGAAACTATGCCATTCTTTCTGTAACACCCGTTACTTGATCTCTGACAATTCGAACTCATGCAACAGATAATTGAATGATACAGAAATGAACGTTTCATGATGCACTGAAATAAAGAAATAAGACTGTTGATAGTCTAATCTAACATTCGTTATGATTACGTGTCTTATTTGTCTTTATTTCTATTATTTTAGCTTTATCCTCTATAACTGAATATAAACTTTGCTATGTGACAAATTTATGCCTTCAATTATGTACGTTAACTATGGATACATTTGTTCATCTATTCTCCTGTCTAATTAATTTATCTCATTTAAAAATGAAATTACTTCAAATTGATGAAAAACGTCAAGAAGGTTATGTATACGATATTAATAGTGAAAAACCAACAAAATGTCGAATTAAACAAATGGATATAGATACTGTTTCTCAATCAGCACTTGAATATTTACTTTATTATATTCATTCTACACTTGAAGAACTAATTATTGATAAATTTAATCAAGATTTATTTCAACAATTTTTACCCTATAATAAACTTACACAATTAAAAATAACCAATGGTATAGATACTGGGTAAATAAAAATAAAAATAAAATATCTCTAATTTTCTTCTTTTTATTATTTAATTAAATTTTATTTTAGGTGTATTTGTTCAATACCTCTATTAAATTTACAATATTTAACCATTAATTTAACAGAATCAAATTGTGATCATATTAGCGAAACAATTTCAAAATTACTTGATACTTATTCTAATTTAATTCATTTGACAATATTAGTAGAATTAGATGTTATTCTCAATCATTTACATATAAAATCATGATGATGATGATGAATTATTATTTCCATTTGATAATGAAAAAATTTTACAATTAATTTATGATAAACGACCACCAAGACAATTATATTTAGCAAAAAATTATGCACATATTTATAAATATTGGTTTTGTGCAGCTTAAAAATTAAGCATTTATTGTTGTTGTTTTGTAATGTAAAACTTTTTTAATATTGTAAAAATATATATTCACACCCGCAATTTTTATTTTGTTTTCCAATGAAACATGAACAGTATATTTTTCTCAATCTCATTTAGACTTTTTTGTTCATGTTTCTTCTTTTTACTAAATTATAATAATCAATTCTTTAATCATTTTAGTGTTTTTCATAAAATGTCACATATTCAATATAATTGGAGATATGAACATTTTTATTTTAGAGTTTTGCTGTTAATGTCAAAAACGTATTGGTTTCTCTTCATATTCGCTATGTAATTAAATAATCTTTTTAAATCATTAGTCCTCTAGCATTTTGAAGAAGAAGCTTCGTTTCTGTAGAAACAAAGCTTCTTTTTCACTTTCTTTTTCTTCTTCTTCAGAATGTTGAGGACTATTTAAATACATGAGTCAACATCGAGATATTTAAAATTTTTAAATTTATTTATTATTGTTTCTTCTAAACCATCTACTGTATAACATTTTACTCTTTCAGTCAAAGTTTCTACGCCTTGAACTTTCTATGATTGCATAAAACATATCTCTTTCGTAATTTACAAAGAAAGTCTAAGACTTCAAAATTCAAATCATAACGAGATAATCTTAGAAAATCAAAAACTAAACTCTTTCTAAATTGTATCTAACAATTATGTAGGTTAATAACCATACGGCCTGTCCAGCTAACGGTCACCTTCACTTAAGATAGTTCGAAAATTTTTTTTAACTTTAAGAGTTTGTGAAGCACATCGTCTAACGTAGTATTTGAAGCTTATTTCGAATATCAACTTAAAATTTCCAAAAAATGAAATTTTGACCTCAAAAAATGAAATTCAAATTTTATTTTTAATTTCCTGACCTAGATATTTTCGCGAAAAAATTAAGAGATATGGCATTTTGTAGTGAATTTAATTCTCTACACGATGGTGTATTTATTTTTGAGTTTAGGTGCTTTCCAAGAAAGTTGATTTTTCGAAAGACCAAGTTTTAAAATGGTTTTTTCTCCAAGTCAAAACGATTTTAAAACGTTTTTCTACGGTGCATTTATATAGGCTTAATTCTCAGCTACATTTGCTACGAAAAGGTTTTTTGAAAGAACCTCATTATTCGCTAAACTTATTATCTGTTTTTGTCCTGCTCTACATTCACTTCTATTTTTTGTAAGTCCATAACACTCAATATTATTTGTATAAAAACCGTGCCACTTGGGTGAAACCCACAATATGTTGGTTGCAAATAGAACTCACCGAGCTCTATCAGCTGACGCAAGAACGGTCCTCACAGCATCTTCCTTTACAGAAAAAATTGCTACGGACTAAAAAAAAGCGTAAGTCCGTAACGCCGGGACAGGCCGCATAGCGACATACACGTACAATTATCATACGTATACACAAGAAAAATATATTCTTTCTCGCATCAGATAGGATATGTTTGATGAAAAAAGGACATTTTATTCAAAGATCATCACCCACACAGTAAATGTGAACAGAACAGGAGCCTCTCAACGATCAT